GCAGTGAAAGAAGGAAATGGACATGCTTTTAACGCTTTTTTAACATCAGAAAGGGTAATGCTCAAAAGCATCACATTTGCTATATAATACCAAATAAAACATTTTGTAGTAAAATACATTGAGATGGTAAAAATTCCAATGAGAATTCTGACACCGGAAAAATAAAGATCACAGCACAGTGCAGTACTGGAAACAGCAGTTAGAATACAAAACAAAACATTCAATAACCATGTGCTTATGATGAAAAGGTCTTCTGTGACCTTTAAAGACATGTGACTTTTTCTCAAATGGTGACAACTTTAAGACATGGATACAGAAATTATATTCCTCTAAATGGTCATTTCAACTTCTTAGCATGTCTGGACTTCAAATAAAATTCTTCTGAGAAAGAATGCAAATTTGTCCAAAGACTATCTGGAAAATATAAGGACTTTGAGGCAAGTATACATAGGGAAGGCTGGGAGCAGTTAGTACAAAGTGTGAATGTGCAAAGCTAACTACTGTCTATCAGGCTCTCTACTAGCACATGGCTATGGCAGAGAAGGCCAACGGCATCCTGGCCTGTATCAGAAACAGTGTGGCCAGCAGGATCAGAGAAGCCTTCCTTTACTCTGCGCTGGTGAGGCCGCACCTCCAATACTGTGCTCAGTTCTGGGCCTCTCACTACAATAAAGACATCAGAGGCACTGAAGTGGGTCTAGAAAAGGGCAACAAAAAGGGTGAAGGGTCTGGAGAAGCCTTATGAGGAACAGCTGAGGGACCTGGGCTTGTTTAGCCTGGAGAAAAGGAGGTCTAGGGGTGACCTGATTGCTTTCTACAGCTACCTGAAAGGAGGTTGTATTGAGATGGGGTTGGTCTTCCAAGTAACAAGTGATAGGACAAGACACAATGGTCTCAAGTTCCACCAGGGGAAGTTTGGATATTAGGAAGAATTTCTTCAGCAAAAGGGCTGTCAAGCATTGGAACAGGGTGCCCAGGGAAGTGCTGGAGTCACCATCCCTGGAGACATTTATAAGACATGTAGATGTGGTGCTTAGAGACATGGTTTAGTTGTGGACTTGGCAATGCTAGGTTAACAGTTGAACTCTTAAAGGTGATCTTAAAGGTTTTTTTCCAACACAAATGATTTTAAGTGAGCATGAGTTCAATCTGCTTTTGAATGAGAATTACTTTTGAAAAGCTTTCTCTAAACTGTGTCTAGTACAGTTTGCTCCACTATACAATGGAACAAATTATCTTATGTTTAATGTTGTCATGGTTTAAGCTAAAACCAGAACAATTGTATACTGCACTAATACCAAACAGTTACATACTGTAAATGAAGTTTACAGTTAACTAGCTTTCCCGTGTAGACAAAGTTTCAGTGTATAACACAACATAAAGCTGCCTATTTCTAGGAGAGGTGACTGAATGGATCAAATTTGTCTATGTAATATAGTATACTTCTGCCTGACAGCACATTCATACTCCATAGGTACTCCAAAGCTTCATAAAGGGACCTTCACTAAGTAAAGATAAAACTGGAAGTAGTGCTGCCAGCTTTAATGGAAAATTAAGTCAGCCACTGGAATACTCTTCCACTGTCATCGCATATATTTTGAATGTTGGCACTTGTAGCATTGTCCATGAAACTCCTACAATACTTTAAAATGCCTAAGGATTTCACTCTGATAAAATCTGTTCTGTGATGACACAGCACAGAGCAATAATAAGAGCAGTACTATATGCAGAGCTCTGCTATTGTGCAGGATGTCTAAATATAGGGCTTGTAAGTGGTGTGGGGGGAGGAAAAGTCTCAGAAGGCTGCAGTATCACCAAGTCTTAGAAAAAGAAATTATTACTACTGTGGCAAAATACATCTTCCTTGATGCATGGAAGTCTATGAAATTATCCTTTTTATTGTTAGAGCCTGTATCTAATGCGAGAGTTGGATGTGAAAGGGACTCTGAAAAATGTGCTTGCTGAATACAAACATCAAGTCTCAGCAGTCTAACTTTTGCTGGAGGTTCCTGTCCTCTGACAACTATATACCAATGTCACACCAGTAACCTAAACTATGCAACCCTCAGAAATGGATTTCTATTTCTTTTTCTTTGGAAGGGTGGTGGTGGAGTTACTGCTATTTTTGGTGACTTAACAGCACTGAGATAAGAAATAATTAGCTAAGAAGCATATAGAGATGTCAAGACTTAGGGCCTGGTGTTTCTGTTACAATTCTTTTTAGCTAGACAGACCTAGGCATCACCAGAATTCCACCAGAATCTTAAGGGAATGCATTTTAGCTGAGTATATGGACACAAAAAGAGCCTAATAATTCTAGCGCCAACATACCTGTCAAGAAGATAGGACTTACGCATTCAGAGATGAATACTGACAGATTTAGCAGAAGTGGTTTTCAGGTATGATTGCCCTCAGTCCACCATCTTCCTCTGCCAGAAGCCACTGGCTATTGCACATGTAGGCAAATTTGTTGTATTTCTATACCACTATATCGCTCACT